TTTTTAGTTGTAACTTTCGAAAATGCAAATTTATGACTTCTGATTTAGTACTTTTCTTGCAAATTCTGATGAGTAAGAATAGATTTACGCTAAGCTGCGCGAAATATTTATCTTAATTCAGGAAAATTTTTTAAAATAATTTTTAAAATCAAATACTAAAAAAGAAAGAATTTTTTTAAATATCATTGAATTATTTCGCACATATTTATTTTCACTTGACGTTCTAAGAACTGAAGGTATAAATTTTTATGCCGCATGTCATGATGTATTAAAAAATCTTATATAAGTTTAATTTGTAAAATTTATATCATGTGGATTGAGTCATTTGAATGTGGATTGAATCATTTATTTACTTATTTGCTGCTATAAATTAATTTATACATTTTTCTATATTTAATGTCTTGGGTGAAGATTGCAAACATTCATTATTGAATATTTATTGTTTGCTATTATCATATAATCGTTTATATGACTATAAAGAGTATAATCGTTTGAACAAAATAATTTGAGTCTTTGAGTAATCGTGTAGGAAAAAAATATTCTAATATTATTTTTATTTTGATAAAATATATTACACCTACTTAATGATATGGATTTTCATTTATAATTGCAACATATTGCAATAATCTGTTTAATCGTTGTAATTATTCCGATTACAGCTTACAGCTTATCGAAATATATGAATTCCATGTCATGTATATGAATTCTACTTATGCCTGTTTCCTATTCTTTTACAGTCGTATAAATAAAAATCGATGTAGGATATAAAGAATTCCAAAACTCGTGCTAAAACATATCGCATTTATCGCCACACCACTACCACAGTTTTCACATGCTACCATATTCAAAAAATATACCGTTGATCACATTCGCAAATACATATATGCCTATATAAGTATTTACGTATATCACGTATCCTTCAACCAAGTGAGCTTTTCCTCTTTTCTTCCTCGTCCTTTGAACGAATTCCAAGGAACGACCCGTCCAGAAGAATATCCAAGCCTCAAGATTTCCATAACATTGCAGCCTAATATTATATCCGATGTACGTGCCCGCGGCCACAAAGCTAAAGCGCTGCGCCACTGGGATGGGATTCCGACTTTAGATTGAAGAGGAACAAGTAAGAAGGTAGAGCAAGAGAAAGAAGAGAAGGAGTAAGAGTGAAAGGGAAATTGTACGAGGGCGGGTGGGAGGGAGAGAGAGAGAGAGAGTGAGTGAGTGAGTGAGTGAGTG